TGTTTCACTACAATGCAAAGCAGTAAGTAGCTAGTAGAGAGACACATGAGGGCTCCTTTGATGGAAAGGCTGCAATGATGGACACTTCACGCCAGTGACTCCACAAGACAGTCATGCAAAGCCATGATGCAAAAATTTCTCTCATGATAGACCTACTTGTTTACATAATAAAACATGAATAAGTAGATGATTATGAACTATTAATATGGGAAAAAAAATTGCTCATCTGTCTCTGTTCTCTCAGACAGATATTTTGTGGACAATATTTTAAATGGCATACATTTACTTCATCAGTACTATCTTCTTTTCATGACCGCCTGTCATCTGCACTACTTTGGTCCCTCTTGTTCTGTTTTAGGCTACAGCACCGCAGCTTTTGATGCACGCATAGCCTCTGCACCTGTGTAGTGTTACTGTCTTCAGCAGGATGCTCATCTTAGCACACAGACCCCTTGCACAAATCTAGTGGGAAGAAAGGTCCTGAACTGGTACAACACATCCAGGGTGCATTTTTGTTTTTAATGGCAGTGCTCCTATTTGGGTTGGGACATCTAGGCACTAGGAGCATTAGTAATGAATCAGAAGAGAAACAAAATCATTGTCTTTTATAAACACCAACACAAATTAAAAGATTCTCAGTCATATGGGTTCCGTGTATTTAGCTACTTAGAAAAGAAGCATTGGTACTTAAGCTTTGCATTGAAAGGTCTGACACATCTATGCATGTGCTCTGCTACAGGAATTTGTTCTCCATCCAGCAGAATTCAGAGCTTTACATTATCATGACATGTAGATAAGAAAATCAGCGAGATTTTATCCTTAAAAAAGTATTATCATATTCCCAGTTACTTTAAATATCAAACAATTCTGAGCCCAGTTCCACAGACTGCACACGCAGACGCTGCACAGTATCGCCAAATGTAATAAACTGTTCTCCATACCTAGCAATTGGGATTCAGTTGTGGAGAAACTCCTCGGGAAACCTCCTTCTCCTCCTCCCCACAGAGGAAATGTCACTCCTTTTACAAATGTAGGCTTACCAACTTCAGACAGTATTTTCAGACTACATGCTAGGAGCACACATGCCAGCAAGTGACTTCTTATGAGCAAGAAAATGGAAACACAAACAGGAGGGTGAAGAAATTAAGTTTCGGGCAAGGAAGATGTCGGCACTATATTTGGGAAAAACTTTCTACAGTAAGAGAAGTTAAGCTCTGGGACAAAACCCTGTGGAGAAGATAAACTTTCATTGTGAGTTTTTTAGGAACATGTGAGACAAACATGTCAGGAAAGTTTTAAGAGGAGCTTTAGGGCCAAGAGATGACCTCTGAGCCTCTTCCAATACTAACTCCTTTGGTCCTATGGTGAACAGTCACAACATAAAAATGTAACAAACGAAATCTAAACTACCAGTTTAGATGGTAATTAGCAAGCCACCTCCCATAGTCTCTCGGAAGGGCTGTCAAAGTTTCCTCAGGAAGTGACAAAGACAAGAAACTTTGCCTTAGTCCTTAAACCTGGCAATCTCTTCTGCGGTTGCCACACACAATTATGTCAGGACTTGGCAGAGAGTTGTAAATCGCTCCTCCAGCCTGCATAAAGAAAATGTTGGGAGCCAAGGCACATGGCACTCGGCAGCCACAGCCTGATTAGGAAACCTGGCAGCTGCACCCCCAGCCACATTTCAGCACTGAAGCACGGCTCAGGAACCCACCGGCCCCCCTCTGCCCCTCTCTCCTTCACCCCTCAGGAGGGCGCCCACTCAGGACAGAAACATCACGCGAGTCAAATGGGAGCTGCGCTTCATTTCACCGCATAACCTGAGCTGCAGAGGGTAAAACTTGCTCAGCCCCAGAAGCAGGTGGCCTCTAACACTGGGACAACTGCTGTGAACAAACAGCAGACTGGGCCGAGGGACCAGGAAGAGGCTGGGGTGACAAGACAGGACTCAGAGCAGATGCTCAAGTGTTTGCACTTACAAAGATGAACACCTTCCATGTGCCCATACCTCACTGCCCAGCAGCGATAATTTACTGGAGGAGGTAGTTTAGGAGCAGACTCGAGGCCACTTGCAAGGCAACATACTCAAGAGAGCTATTAAAATTGTACCTCCATAGCTGTGAGGCACTGAACAATTAGGCAGGCATCCCGGTCCTGCCAGCCCACCAGCAAGCTGGAACCATCTCTCCTCAAAGAGCATTGACTTCTCAAATTCATGAATAACAAAGCTCTGCCATCAACAAAGCCTGCCTTCCAAACTGACTCACACCTAGCCTTGAGCGCCCCAGACCAGAGTTCCTCTCTGTTGTTCTCTTGCTGGTGTCTCCTTCAACATCTACAAACCTCCCAACCATCCCCTTGTTGTGCACTACTCCAGGCTGCTCCAAATCGCTCCCATCACAGCCACAGGGAGTTTTTAAAACCCCAAGATACTCTGGAGGAGGAGGAAGTGAAATGCAGATACCCAAATCCCAGTTCTTTTAGATTCATACTAAAAATTACAGGCCAGGTTGCCTCCTGGCAATGTGGGGGTTACATCTAGGAGCCTATAACTTACTCCACTCCCCTTCTCAACTGCGATTACTCCAGGCCAAACACTGGCCCAGCTTATAGGGCTGGCAGCATGGAGCACAGCTCTGGTTTCCCCCTTCTCCTCACCGGCCCATCTAGCCCCTCTACAGCCAAACGGGGCTTCAGATCTTGGGGAGAAGCTGGCTTTGCAAACTTTATGCCAGCTGCAATTTTTCCTCATTGGGGAATTCTGACATGGCAGGAACAGGCCAAGGCCAGGCCCTTTTCACAGCTGAGGCCACAGACAATCAGGAATCCTCCTGTCTGATTTAGAGGTGTAACTTAGAACCTTGTTCAGAAGTAGAGAAGGATACAGGTTTACAAACCAATTTAATCCCTATTTCTAACAAGGATAGGAAATCACTTTGGGACTTGGACAAGCCAGACTTGACTGATTATCTGGGGATCTACTAGGTACAATACAGATTAAGCTAACAGGTCCAGGATCTACTGAAAAGACAACTGTCAAGATTCCTTTAGCTAGGTCTGAAAACGTATTTTTGAGTTGCTATTAGCTTCCAAGCAGATCAGAAGATTCATGCCTACAGTTGTTCACAGGGACAGGCATGGAGTTTCCCTGTTCTGGAAATGTGTCTGAACTTCCCAAGGGGATTTATCATATGTAGGATTCCTCTCTTTTGGGAAAACAGAGCATCAACCTCCATGGTAAATGAGATGTCTATTTTCTAAGATTATACCCCATTAAAACTCAGGAAGGAACATCTCACTACCAGACAACTCTAACTACAGACACATCTTCCTAAGTGTTCCCACTGTCACCCTATCATTTTAATGAATCTACAGAGTAATTGCATCCTCCTAGTAACACTGAAATGCTTTATAGTTTTCTTTTCCTGTCTTAAAGTAAGTAAACAATTGCCTTGCAAAACCTCCAGTACATTTTAATGTTACAAAACAGCAATAAATAATGGGCAAAAGGAATGCCATTCCACAAAACATTTTAATCTCTATAAAATTCCAGTATTTTCTGCTAGGGAAGAAAAAATAGACACATCCACATATTCTACCACAGACTCCTCACGTTTGTATAAAACACATTTATTTTGTCTCTATGCCATTTTAAAAGTTGAAGGCAGGAATTCTAACCAAGAAAGGAGGAATGGTCACTGCCAAATACTTTGGGTTGAACTCTCCAGTGCCCTGGCACCACGTCTTGGCACTCACTCCAGGGCAAGGTACCCAACTCCTGCTGGGGTAAGCGTCAACACAAATCAGAGAGCACTAGAGTGTCTGTATTTGTTTGGGTTTTAAACGTTCAACTCGCTTGTACTGCACAGAAGAGAATTCAGTCTAAAACAGCTTCATCCACGCAGCTTTCCTGAATGTTTATGGAGATAAGGACCTAAAAGCAGCCAAACTCGAACTTTGTAATCTGAAATGTCTGATTGAAAAAAAAAAAAAAGAAAAAAACAAAACCAAAACACAACCAACAAAGTAGTGATGCTCTGCTAGTAACTGTCAGAAGAGGCTCTGTTCTGCCAGCGGTGTTTCTAACAGCTGGGTGAGCGCATTTCGCTGTGAAGCTCCCTGCGTGCAGGGCTGAGGGGGCAGGCGGAGCCAAACTGCAGAGCTAAGCACATTGCTGCTCCAGATGTGAAACGCACACCCGGGCTCGCCAAAACACAAACGGAGAAAAAGCAATGGCAGAAAGGACGTTATTCCTGTAAGGAGCCGAGCGAATAAACCCAGGCAAGTAATTAAGCAAAGCACCGACACGGCACGTAGGTGACACGGGGCCGAGGCGCCCCGGAGAAGGAGCCACCCGAAATAACGTCTCGGGGCGGGCAGCGCGCTGCTGCTTTCCTCTGTTTCGCTGCCCACCATTGTTGCAGGGGCCGGGGGACAAGACCTGGAAGCCTGCCGCGGGGATGGTGGGCAGCGAAACCCCCCCGGGCGCCTTTCGGGGCTCCGGGCGGCGGCAGGGTGACCGGCCGGCGGCCACCCCCGCCTGCCCCGGCCGGGGGCACCCGGCGCTCCGGCGGCGACGCCCCCCGCCTGGGAAGTGCTGAGGGGGGTGGAGGGGGGGCGCCCCCCCCCAAAAGAGAGCTCTTCACTTCTACCCCCCCACACACACACACACAACTTAGGCCCACCTCGCTTTTAAAAAGTTCAGGAACAAGGCAAAAACAAAACAAAAAAGGCTCCCAGAGCCTCCCCCCAGAGGCCGGTGCGCGGCTGCCAAGCCTCGGCGTGGAGGTATTCACCGCGGCCGAGCCCCCGCCGCCCGGGACGGGGGGACGCGGAGCCCTGCGGGAAGGAGGGACACACACACACAGACTGGAAATGTTCCCCTTTTTAGCGAGCACCCCGCCTCCCTCAGCCTCCACCTGGTAGGAAAGAAAACGGGTGGGGGGGGGGGGGGGCGGGAAGCGACACACGCACACACTGCCCCGGTCCCCTCTACTCACTCCAAGCAGACACACTTTCAGCTCGCGTATCGCCATCATCTGCCCGGGGCCCGGCCGCTCCGCATCCCCCGGCGCTCCGCCGCTCCGCACTGCCCCGCCGCGGCCGCCCCCCCCGCTGCCGGGGCCGCCCCCCCCACCGGGGCCCTCCCCACCGGGGCCGCCCCCCCCGCTGCCGGGGCCGCCCCCCCACCGGGGCCGCCCCCCCCGCCCCTCACATGCGCCCGGCCCCCGCAGGTCCCGCCTGGGGCGGCACACGGGTCGTTTCTCGGCTGGAGGAGTGAACCCGCGCGGCGGCGCGAACTGCGCCTTAGCGCTGCGCCCCGGGGCGGGGAAAGATTCGCTGTTGTGAGAAAAAAGTAATCGGGGGGAGACCGCATCTCGCGTGGGGCTGCGCTTACGCGGAGGCCTACGCGCCATGTGCTGGTCTAGATGCGGGATTGGGACTGGTTTCGGTTGTGAGCGAGCTGAATCTATCTGCTTTGTGTGACTCACACACACACACACACACACACCCCCCCCCGGCTTGTTTTACTATGCGCACAAAACATTTAAAAGAGTAACTCCATTTTGACCCAATCCTCGCAATACATACCCGCTTTTGATGAAAACAGTCAACCTCGGGTTGATAGTAGGGCTGCACCCCACACATCAAAAAGTTATTTTAAAGATTACAGTGCGGCCAATGTTAGGACCAGTCCACCGAAATCAGTGAGGGAGGTTCATAACCACTCTTCTCCGCTCTCAGTAGCCAAACTCCAAGAGTTTATGCAGAAGAGTTGCATGCTATAACCCTGGGAAAGCAGAAGAGCATTGTCTTGTCAGGCACTTTAAGTCATAGCCTCTGTTCTATTTACAATTTTATTTTCATTTTTTCACTAATTTATCGGGTAGGATTGCTAAAGAGAAACTAAGAAAATCTTGATTAGTCATTGTGAGATTACTGCCACGTCATTAGGAGCTTCCTGGCAATAAATGGTTGTGGCGTTTATTATGTCACTAATTTGTTCCACATGGGGTCCTATACTCACACAGCCTGGAAGAAGATGTTTGCAGTCTTCCAGAGCTCCAGAATCCTAGGCCAAGGAAATGCTTGGAGCAGAGCAGTTGTTATCCCCAAGGAGGGTGGAATATCACAGCCTGTCAGGAGAGAAAGTATCAAGAGAGATCAAAGGAGAGGTTCATCAGAGAGATTTGTGCGATTTAATGAAGCTAGGGGTTTTTTGTTGGCTTGTTGTTTTGTTTTGGTTTGGGTTTTTTTTAGGAGAATTTAGCAAAGATAAACAAAACACAGCAGGTTTTCAGACAACTAATACAGAATATTGCTAGGATTCTGTCTGCTCATTGCCTTTCCAGAAGAATGCATTACACAATAAAGTCTTTCAATAAGTAAATAGGATATACTCACTAACACAGAACAATTGAAGTTTGCACTCGTAGCACAACTAAAGCAGCTCTACATTTCAGCCAGTAATTAATTCTACAAATCAACAGGAGATACACATTTTTAAGGTTTTACACCACCCAAATCCATCCTTTCTTTCAAGTCTGAGTTAAATGTCACTCCTCTAACTTTGATTCAGACTTTTCCACTGTTGAGTGACTGAGATTCACAGGCAGCATTATGGTTCAGGATCACCTTTTCACAAATTCTTCTCTTTTTTTTTGTCATAACTTTAAACATTTCCACAACTTTCATGTATCTCATTAGTCATCTATTTGTTTTCTTTGGTCCATCTATCTGTTTTCTTTGTTTTATTTTGTAATTATTGAAGTTTTGGAATTTTTGCTTATTGTACATGTGAAACATTATACCAGTTGAATTAATTTCATCAACAATTGAATTACATGAGATTCTAATCTAATCTACATTAGATTGTGGATTACAGAAAGAGATTGATAAGTGGTGCACTATGTTCAAAGCTGTTCAGTGTCACAAGCACAGTTTGACAGTTTGTCCATAGGTGTGCTCAGATTAAGCTCGGATTAAGCTGTAGTGGTAATGAGAGCATCCATAGAACAGATTAATCAATTTTACTGTATGTACAATGACTCTGCAGTTTTAACCGAGGTGCCTTAACTTTCTAAAGCCTCTCAATGCAGGTGTGCATTAGAGTACAATTAATAAAGTTCCAGTTTGGTAGAGCACTTGCTTAAATGCATCCCTTTTTGAGACAGTAATACATCCCACCGACTTCAAAGGCATGTGAGTACATGCCTAATAGCTGTCTTGACTCAGTATCGCTGCGATACAAAATAGTGCCTGAGAAATTTGCCCAGGAAAGCAAGTCAGATTCCCAACTTGCTTCTTGTCTGGGGGAAAGGCTTCTCAAATACACAGTGGTGAATCAGGAGCCCTCACTAAAAAAGGTTAAAGCCCAGACCTCAAAAGCTTATTTATGAAGATAGCAAATAACTAATTAGCTACTTATGAACAAGCAAATTGTTTAAAACTGTAGCACGGAGATGACCCAGTGGAAGCTGTTCAGGATGAAGCAGCAGGAGAGTGTTAAGGAAGGGCAGTTTTACTTAAACAGTCAAAAAGTCTGAAGAGCTAAACAAGAAAAGGAATGAACAGAGGAAAAATAATCTACTCTACTAATTTAAACAAAGATTCTAGGAACAAAACGAAACAAAACCAAAAAAAAAAAAAAAAAAAAAAAAAGGAAAAAATATCCCCCCCACATTAGGGAGATAAGAAGAGAGAAAAACAACAACACAGACATGTGCTGCAGTATTAAAAAAACTAATGACGTTTTTTCTTCCAGGAACTGGCATAATCCTTGTATTTGTCTGCATGCCACTGTGGTCAGGAAAACATTTTTGAGGAATTGGTCATGTTGCAGTGTTTACAATAGCTAGTTAAAAGCAAAGGAAAACAAGTCTTTGCATCCTAAAGGTTTTCTTTTTTCCCTTTTGTATCATCTTACTCCATGAATAATTACAAGTTTTGAAGCAATGATTTGCCTCAATTCATTCTACTCAACTGTATTTTGCTTTTGGGAAATAAAAAGCCAAGTGGCTTTGTTTTTCAGCAGCCTTCCCTTAGTGTTTCAAGTAATCTGTTCTTTCCTCGGAAATCATTTCCTTTAGTGTCCAGAAACTGGAGGAGCCAGACCATTCTTTAGTTTATTCTAATTTTGTAACAGTGTAATTGCACTGATCTCAAATTAATTACTCCTTAGTGTGAAAGATTTAGGTCCTCAGATCTGTGCTTAAGCCAGCAAGATGTGATCTGGCTCAAGGTGGTTTTGAGTGTGATAACTGGAAAGTTTGTTCAGGCCTGTCTCTGTCTGGAAATTCAGGGTAGTACCAGTTGCCTTGGGAGGGTAGGATTGATTCACCCTTCACTTTGGTGGTTTTCTTGCTTAGACAGCTAAAGCAAGACTATCCTGTCACTTTTTTTCAGCGTAACACCACTGCTCTCATGCAATAGAGGAAGGAAGAGAGCCTCCTGCTTAGAGGCACAAGACTGGGAGTACAGAAGGCTGGGTTATGCTCCCGCCTGCAGCGTTGCCTTGCTGTGAGACCTGGGGCTGGGAACCTGACCGCGCTCGGTGCCGGTGTGTGGTCCTCCAGCGGGCTGGGGCAGAGGTAGCTGGGGCTGCTGCTGGTCTCCTCTTTGCCCCTACCCACATGTTCCTGCCCCTCTGTGGCTTGTGCTGGTAGAAAACTAGTCCTGTGTTTAAAAGTTTTCTACAACCTCAGTCTCTTCCTCACTAGAAGTGGTGTAGTGGTATTTATCTAGCCCATACCAGTAGCAAACTGGATGCTTGTGAGGTGCTGGCAGTGTTCCCAGGTTTATGGAGGCATCTGCCTTCCTCCTCCTGCTTTCTCCAGTGATTGACCTACAAAGATCTGTCCAAGACCCTGATGTGTACCCAGCTCCCAAAAATGCTGTTGTCTGTCCTGATCACCTGATGAGTTACTTCCTTTCTCCCACTGTTGCTTTCCCTCTTGATTTCTTGGCAAGCATCTTCCCCACACAAAAATGTTATCCCTCCTCTTCACTGGCTAGTTCAATCCAGGCCCTCCTACTGTGGGCTGCCATCCCAGCTCCTATTCCCAAGGCACGGAGCAGGAGGCAAGTTAACTCCACGCTGCCTGGGGAGAAATGCCTCTATGTCCCATGGATGACACAATCATGCAGTACAGTAGTGACTGCCGCCACAGAAATTTTACCAGTGCCTGCCCAAGAAACTGCCAAAATCTCTTAAAAGGAAAGCAGCGGCTGCTGAGCAAGCAGTTCTTCAAGCAGCAGGAGCAGCTTCCCACTCAGACCTTAGATCCCTTGCAAAATCCAGTGGTTACGAAATGGCTAAAATTATGGAAGATGCTGGTTTTTGTTTGTTTGTTTACTTAATCACCATGAAGGTTAGAAAAGGGCTGCCCTGGAAAGTCATCATGAGACTCCTGAGACCTGAAAACTGGAGAAGTACAGGAATGACTTGGTGGAAACTGAGGGCCTGATTCCAATTTCAGTCACATAGGTCTTGAGCCACTGTAATTTGTTTTTAACTTGAGTAGAGTTATTTCATTTAATTTCACATGCAAAAAATGAATTAGGCCCTTCATAGCCCACTGGTTCTGGCATTAATGCCAGGAGAATCTGCAGCTGCCTGTTACTTCGTTTTATTGTAGTGTTGCTTCATGTTTTAACATCTCTTGTCTGTGGCATTTATATGGTCCAGTCACCCCATCCTGAAGAGAAAATCTGCTGGAAAAAGTTAAAGGGGAATAAACCTCTGCAAGATCCTACTTACAGCTTCACTGCCAAGTACTTTGAGAAGCAGCATTATTGCTGTTGAAAAAAACCTGGGGGTTGTTTTCATAAAGCTTACTGGTCATGCTTTTTGATAGACCTTGTAACAGATGCACTGTTCCTAAAGTGCTTGGGAAAGATTTTTGGCAGCATAGATGTACGTTTGTCAAGAGGGTCAAATTTACTCTACTGGTTCACTGTTAATCCCCAGAGCAATCTCCTGTTGCAGGAGAATGGTAGTGAAAGCAATGCAAGTTTTCTCATTCTTTGCAAGTGATGTGCCACAGCCCCAAGCCAGTGACAGCACGTTTCTCCACT